CGAGCCAAATGTTATAGCGAAGCACGCGGTCCGGAATCGACAATAAATTATCAAAGTCAGCTGAAATTGATTTCTCTTCCCTCGAGAAATGACGTAAGACGCTCAAAAATCACGCGTAGATTACCCATCTATCAGCCATTGGCTGATTTGAATATGGCGCGCTCGGTTGTTACAAAGGTCGCCGCGAGAGGCCATCACTTGTCCACGCGTGCGCGCGCGATCGCACTGAAAAGCCGCGTATTCAAGAGGAAAAAAAAAAAACATCTCAAGGTCACGAGGCACGCGTGATGCTTTTTGTTTGCCCCTTCTATATCTTCCTGCTCAGTGTCCAGCACTTCCGTCGGGATGAGATAAGAGAGGTGATTGCAGCATGTGACAAATCTTTGTAACTCCGCTCATACTGAACGGATTCTTAATTTTTTTCGGCGTTGAACTTGTGAGGCAATGCGCTTTTCCAGTGAATTAGTTCCCTTGTTATTAAAAAAAAAGTGTTTCAGGGCCCCTTTAGGGTGGCATCTCCGCCGGTATTTAGTTTTCGCGCGTTTCCTCGCTTGCCAAACAAGCGTCGTGTCGCGGTAAGAGTGGGGCGCAAGTTTAGCCCCCTACATTGACATAACAGGGACGGGCTGCTGTGACGACCAGTTGCCTCCCCCCCCCCCTCCCGAAGGGGGACTCTGCACACGCCGAGGTATGACATAACGGCGCGCTGCAATCGCATTGCGTAATGCCCACCCCTTTCTTTTCTTTCTCCATGCCGACACAGGACTACAAGCGAGACATTGACTCGATCCATCTCATTAAAATAGCGACGAGAGCTGACGTTGATGTGGTCTGCATCGACGCCGTAAGAAGTGAATGTTTTTCGAAAAATAAGCCAGTTGTTAGATTGCGCCCGTTTGTCTTCCTTTCTGTGTCCCTGTGTGCTTGCGCGAAAATTTCGAGATGGATATGTTCCAACCAGGCCAAATCACAGTTCTGCTTCCGCATCCACTGGTTAGCACAGGGTTACGGTGGCGGTTTTCTTTGTGTGTGTGTGTGTGTCGTTGGCCTTCGCGCTTAAAAGTATGCGAGTGGCTGCCAGAGCGGTCTCGACACGCTCGTTCAAGCATCCGGAATGAGCCCGTGTAGTGAGAAACGTCAACAACACACAAACCACCCAGAAATAGAATGCGCACGAGGTTGCTGCGAAAAAAAAAAAAAAAAAGACGAGCCCCAACACACTCTGCAGTCGGTGCAGGGATCCGGTCACGTGACCTTCCCGGCAGTACGAGATACCGGAACACAGCAAAACTAAAGTATCTGACCGGCAGTACAATCGCCACGCATTCTTTTGTCTTCTGCGCGTTGCTTGTACCATTATATCAGGTAGTTTTATAACAGGATACGCAAAGCTATGCCTTAGCGTTTGTCGCCACAAAGGAGGATTAGAGAAAAATTGCTCGCGCAACGCCTTGCCAGCAGAAGTGAAGCCAGCTTTCGCCACTGCCGAGATGGCGGAAACATGCTCATCTCTGGTGGTGCCCACTTAGAGATAAAGTGGCTTTGATATGTTAAAGGCGCCCTCAAACCACTTTTTTTGAGTGACCATAGAATTAACTCACTGGAAAAGCGTATTACCTCACAAATGGAACGCCGCAAAAATTTTAAGAATCCGTCCAGTACGACAGCAGTTTTATAAAGATTTGTCGCACGCTGCAATTGCCTTCTCTCGTCCCGACGAAAGCTAAGCCGAGAGGGATGGGAGGGGCAATCAAAACTCGTCACCGGAGCCTCATGACCTTGAGCACTTTTTCGCCCCCCTTCGAATGCGCGGCTTTCTCAATGTGATCGCGCGCACACATGTGGACAAGTAGTGGCCTCCCGCGGCGATCTGTGTACCGAGCTAGCCCGCCACGTTCAAATCAGCCAACGACTGATAAATGGGCTTGCTACGTGTGATTTTGGGGCATATATGCGTGAATTGTTGAGAGAAGAGAAAGCAATTTAGCCGATCATAGTAATTTAATGTGAATTCTAGGCCGCGTGCTGCACTATATAATTTGGCTCGCGCGTTGTCACGAGCCTCTACTGATCGGCAGTGTTTTCTGACCATGTTCAAAAAGTGTTGAAGGTTACAGAAACAGCGTATCGCACCCAGCGGATTGCGCGAACACTGTTTAGAATAAGGTACAGGGGCCCCTAAGCTACTATTTGAAAGCTGTGCTCGCTTTGCGTCAAGCATAATCTGAGAGTTTTCAAGTGTGCTCAGATTTGGGTGCACGTTAAGGACCCCAGTCAAAATTTCCGGAGCCCTCCACTACGGCGTCTGTCACAATCATATGGTGCTTTTCGGACTTTAAACCCCACATATCAATCAATGGATGGCTTGCACTACCTTCTGCCAGCCCTTTGTGCGCACCCATGTGGCGGGGGGCTTCACAGGCAAAGCAAATACGTACGCAGAATTGATAGTAATGTGGAAAACTCGAAGTCTTGTTCACTTCAACTGTAGTATAAACTACGTTTGTTAATTATTTATTGATTGATATGTGGGGTTTAACGTCCCAAAACCACCATATGATTATGAGACGCCGTAGTGGAGGGCTCCGGAAATTTCGACCACCTGGGGTTCTTTAACGTGCACCCAAATCTGAGCACACGGGCCTACAACATTTCTGCCTCCATCGGAAATGCAGCCGCCCCAGCCGGGATCCGAACCCGCGGCCTGTGGGTCAGCAGCCGAGTACCTTAGCCACTAGACCACCGCGGCGGGGCGTTTGTTAAATATCGAAAGAGCGTCTTTACAGTCGAGATATCGTGTTTTAAAATGGCGGTAGGAAGTGACAAAGGGGAAAATTCTATGGCGTCACCCCAGTGGCCGCATATGGCCCGGAAGTTGCAGAGCTGTGCTTTACCAGAATGGCGATTCTGCCGGGAGGTTTAGCGCTACGGCTCTTGAGCAGTCTCTCGAACACGAGGCCCGCACATCGCAGTCTTCACCGTTATTTTCTTTCCCTCTTCTAAATAAGTGTTCGTCAGCTACACCGGCATACTGCGCGGCCACCATGTGTGGAAACACATGAAAAACTACATATTTCAGAATCGGCATCCACAGTATGGTCACATTGGAGATTCGGTTATGTTAGGCTTCGACTTGGTCAGCGAACAGAGAACTCTGGTGCTTCCCATTGGTTTGAAAACGCTCTTCCTGAACTGGTGTCGCACACTTGCGTGTGTGTTCCGCTACTAGCGAGTTCAACGCGCCTACGCTGCACCAAAACAACAGCGAGCGTTTTTAAGTACAGCCGACAGGAGGCGCCAAAGCGTCAAGTCAGAGTCTGGGAAAGAAAATAAAGCTGCACAAATTGCTTCCACCATCATGTTGTACTTTAAAAAGTCGCCGAAAAGATAACCGTCTTAAAGCAAACATCTGAACATTGCTTACCCTTGCTCTAAGGAATCATTTTTGTAATCTCTTGTCAAGTTTCTGTTCACAGGATTACACATTGCGCTTCCACGAGTTCGGTGAACACATTCAACAGGCGAGTGTCATTAGGCATGAATTTCATTCACTGTGCCAGTGCAGCAAACTGATAAATGACTTTCACACCTAATGTCATTCGCAGCAAATGACATTACAGGTGCCGTGTGACATGGGCATAACTGGTTCATGTACTACAAAAATTTGAGGCCTAACAGAAACTTCGATGAGCAGTATTTATTCACAGTTGAACTGAAATATCCGTACGGCATACAAATCTGCCGTTTCGCTTCGACCCGCCAAGACATTACAGAGGAAGCAGACAATAATGCAGTCATGAGAGTGCAATATGGAATGGTGACATCCCGCCAGTCATTTATTCCAAGCTCGGAAGAACAAAATCAAATTCACATGCGCGCCCCACAAACATCGACTTTACTAAAAAAAAAAAATCCAGTTTTTTCCCTTTTACAATGCAGCTTCCACAAAAGTACACGCTGGACGTGCAAGATGGCTTGGTATCGGCAATACAAAACAAGCAAAACAGTCATTCCCTCTATAACTAATTCTAATCAAACAAGCTTAAACAACATAAACGTTGAATACGACTGATTTCCAGAAGCCCAAACAACATAAAAGTTGCATACGATGACCCAACGAATGAGAAAATTAGGTGAATGATCTCCAGCCAATGTTCTCTCTGATTGGCCGTATGATAACCACACGCACCACCCTTCTCTCTCTCTGGTAAAAAAAAAAAAGAGACCAATGAAGACATTCGATGAAAAAAAAAAGGACTTTACTGAGCCGGGTATTTACACTTAAAGAAAACCAAGCAATATAACATAGCCCAAAAAGAGAAACCGCGAAGCGGAGGCTTTTTGGGATGTTTCTGCGCTACAAAGCCAGCGAGAAACATCGAGGGTCAAGCTACAGTGGCGGAAGATTATGTGAAGAAAAGAGTGAAAAAACTGACTCACTCATCGAAGTGAAGAATGTTACAAAAAAAAAGGAAGAAAAAAAAATCACTAAAAGAAGCAAAGTGTGCGATCGATAATTCAGGAAGGCGATCGTCTGTCCTCAAAGTGGCTAGGCAGGCCATAGGTATTAACAACGGCCGAGCGCTTATTCAAAAAACAATGTACGCAAGGAAAAAAAGAAGGAAACATATGGGGACAGCAGAGTGATGCGGTTGTAATATAAAAAAATCGACAATAAAATCTTCATGTAACTTTTTAGGTTCCTTTCGTCTTCCCCGTGTGCCTAGAGCGGAGCTCCCGAAGCAGCAAGGGACACGACAACTATGCTTCACGACAACTCATTCAAATGGGCATCTACGACATTATTTCGCATGAGGAGGAACATATGAAAAGTGGAGAGACACAGAGACAAAGAAAATAACTAATAGTGATGCGAAAAATCGGCAACCCTTTTACAAATGTGTGTGTTTGAATGAGGGCTCATGATGGTAACAATGGCTATGGTGTCAGTTGGTGGTGGTGGTAGCGGCGCGTCTCTTCGTCGTCTTACATTTGTCTCTCTACTGGTTCCCCGAGCGGTAAAACTGGCCTCCGGCCCCCGCGTTGCCACCACCGCCGCCATACTGGGTGTTGTAACTGTTGTACTGAGCCTGCTGCGCCATCTGGTAAGCGGCAGGCCCGCCCTGACCTGCCACGGCACCTTGCTTTTGCTGTGCTGCGCCACCCGCTGTCTGATAGGCGGTGGTGGGGTACGTCGTGCTGTAGGCTTGGCTGCCAGCACCGCCGCCGCCTCCGTAGCCAGCCTGTTGCTGCTGTGCACCCGTCGAGTAGCCGCCCTGCTGGGACATGTACTGCGCCTGCTGCTGCTGTGCAAAGGCCTGGTACCCGCCACCACCGCTACCACCCTTCTGTGGCTGCTGCTGAGAGTCTTGCCGCTGTTGTCCATATGCATTCTGAATGTACGCGAAGGCAGCTGCAGTGGCTGCCTGAGCACCTGGCGTCTGCTGCTGTTGGGAGTTGCCCGATCCACCACCACCAGGTCCAAACCGTGATGAACCACCACCACCGCCTTGAGACTTGGGCCCAGCGCCACTGCTGCCACCGCCGCCACCACGTTGCTCGCTGGTATAGTAACCAGAAGCCAACTGCTGTAGGGTCTGCTGCACACCTGTGGGTGCCAAGGCGGGTCCTCCGCCCTGAGACTGCTGCTGCTGCTGCTGCTGGGCGCTCCAGTCCCTGTAGCCGCCGCCGCCACCTTGGCCTTGGCCAGGGTTGCCAGCCTGGCCGTAACTTCCAGAGCCACCACCTCCTCCATAGCCGCCGCCACCAGGGCCCCCTCTTCCGCCGCTGCCACCCCCCTGTTCGTAGCCGTCCCCACCACGCGGATCGTCGTAGCCACCGCCTCCACGACCGCCAAAACCACCGCTGTCACGGCCGCCCCTGCCGCCGCCTCCCTGGAACCGGGGGATGCCGCCGCCGCCACTGTCACTGTCCCGGTCATCCCAGCGTCCTCCACCACCATTGCTACGTTCGCCATAGCCACCCCCGCCGCCTCTGCCTCGGTCGCCGTAACCACCACCTCCTCGTTCGTCGTCGCTGCCGCGATCCCGATAGCCTCCCCTGCCACCGCGATCCCCGTAACCACCTCGTCCGCCCCCACCCCGGTCCCCGCCATATCCTCCGTAACCGCCGCGCCCACCTCGGCCACCTCCTCCACCGTAGTCGTCACCACCCCTGTCGCCGTAACTGCTGCGGCCACCGCGGTCCCCGTAGCCACCGCCACCCCGCCCTCCCCCACGATCGCCGTAACCGCCCCCGCGACCACCCCTGTCTCCGTAGCCTCCGCGACCGCCCCCACGGTCACCGTAGCCTCCTCTACCTCCTCCTCCCCGATCGCCGAAGCCTCCGCGACCGCCACGGCCGAAACCGCGCCCCCGGCCACCGCCGCCATAGTCGTCCCGGTCCCGGAACCCACCTCCGCGACCCCTAAAGCCGCCGCCCCCTCGACCGCCGCGCCGGTGGCCTCTGTCGCCGCGGTCCCGATCATCATCACCCCAGCGGCTCCCACCGCCGCTACGCCGGCTGCGCTTCGAAGAGCTCCGGTAGTCGTCCTCAGACGAGCGGCTCCGTGAACGGCTACGCGAGTACGACCGCTTGCGATCCCGATCACGGTCCTTATCGCGGTCCTTGTCACGGTCCCGATGGCTGCTGCTGCCGCGGCCGTGCCGCCGGTCGTCGTCGGACGAGCTGTCCGATTCCTCATCGTCCTTGTCGTCGTCATCGCCTTCCTTGGCCGTCGGCAATGGGGGACCTGTGGGATGAAGAAGAAGGCCTTCACAATTCAGCCAAGTGTTGGTACGTGGGCCACAAATGCCATGGTTGGATCACGGACACCAACCTAAGCTGCATAGCGGTTGTCAACAAAGGTTTTTTTTTTTTCTGTATAGACAGGACGTTATACTGCAGTACAAGTCAAGAGAGGAGTGCCTTTTTACCACCAAAGGACCCTGCCCTCACCAGCCAATGGTGTCGCTGAGTCATTGTGACGTTGCAGATGAAGACTTGCTCAAAAGCAAATAAAAACCGTGTCTTTCTGCACTGATCAACCTCGACAAAAATACCCACCTCCACTGTTCACAACCTTCTATCGGTGTAAACTGACTTTAGTGCTGTCCATCTCATACGAGTTCTACAAAAATCCTTGTTTGCATGGTATGAGTGTTTGCCAACTATGATCACCGTGGCATTTCCTTTTTTCGCACAAGTTCCCAGAGTCACCCGGCAACTGCTGCCCATATCTTTGCCACTGATCAGCACTTCAATACCCAGTGCAGTTAATGTCATCCTCTGCACGTGTTTTATCATGCGTGTGAAGCGTCGCATGTTCTGCCGTTTTGTCCATCTCTCGTCTGTGGTGTACGCTGTTTCACATGCCTGTGGTCAGACCAGTGACTGCAACAGGTGGTGATAACGATTCGTTTAAATCTCATTGATTATGCTAGCAAGTCATTATTACTGCTGTTGTACATAACGGCAACACGGGATGCCAACAAGTCGTTGCACCTGAAAACTGATCGGAATACTGTATAACCTCATTACAACAGATCTCTATAGTGAAGAGGATTTCGTTGTGTTGTAAAAAAGGTGCATAAAATCCAAGAACTGTCAGAACACGCTTTTACAGAAACACTGAATGGGTCTGTTATAACAGAAGATAATTAGGAGTGACATACGTATTTATTCTCAACAGGGCATAAAAAAAAATGATTTCTTAAAATCACATCTTCATTTTCTATAACCCTTTTTCTATACGATTCCTAAATATATTCACTGAAAACTAAGTGGAAATGCTGTAAAAAGTTTTTGCGCCTGCCGAGGTAGTGAAAATCATTGTGAAAGTCGAAAAAGTAATAAATAACAAAGAAACAGTTTTTAAAAAATTTATAGCTTCGCAACAGCACAACATGCCCTCCACCCCTATTTTGGGCTCGCCGTAGAAGTATCTCGTAAAGAGCATTCAGCGTTCAAAAAAGCCCCTGATTGGCTGCTTCTGCCGTGTTGCTTTAGTCAATGTCTCCTTGACTGGATGCCGGCCGCGTCTCTCGCTCACTCTCGCATTGCGGCGGCGGTTCCGTTCAGTTCTCCACAAATCCGTGATACCCCTGTCACACGGCCCCCATCGAACTCTGTTAAACTCCGTCAACGTAAATCTCCCATAGGGAGTTCGGCCAAGATGGAGTTGTGGCAGTGTCACACGACAATGACAAAGTTGTAAGAGTTGCCACGAGAGGCTCAACTGTCGCTGTTTGATTTTCGCAGAAGTTTCCTAACTTCATCTCAAGTTGGTTTCTTGTGAATCTTCGTTATGCGGCTTTTACAAAAACACTCTCTTCAGTAGGTCTGAAATGAACAAAACATTAAAAGTATTGTAAACGAAAACGCATTCTTTAAATGTAGCGATGCTGGCTATACTGCGCCTAACGTTATTTGTTTACGATTTCGCCGTGCTCGACGACTAGCTGTTTTGTAGCCTGTGTACGAAAGTTGCTGTGCTACGAGTCATTTCTCTCGCAGATGAACACAAACATGGCGACGATAATAATCGCACGCATGAACGAACTATTTTTAAATGGCAGCGCCCGGTGTGGAGGGCATGTATGTGGAGAGTAGCTGCACTCTGCCAGGCATGTATAGATTTACAGCCGGCTTTCATTAATTCAAACTCTAAAAGACCTCTGAATTAACCGAAAGTTTGAATGATCGTGAGTCTATTGTATATGCAAAGAAACACGCAGTATGAATGAGCACTGCAACGAAATAACATTAATTATTGCCAAAATGTATTATTGTTTTCACTGCAGCAATTTAGAGCTCCATTTTTCTGACCAGCGGACTATACTGGGAACGCGAGTACTTCGTTCTGCTGCAAAGGGACGCCGCCGAACTTAGTTTGCGAAATGCTCAGTTTACCTTCGTTTGCGTAAGGTGGCTGTGTGACACATAACGCATCTCCCTTGTCGTAGGGACAAGGGAGGTAAATGGCAATCGCGGGTGCCCATTAGACAGGAGTATGAGGCGGCGCTTGTTGCCTTTCAGCGGAGAAAAAAAAAAGGGATAGGGCACAGAATCAGGTTAACGGAACACATGGCAAGCATCCAGTAAGTGCTTCCTACCGGGCTGCAGATATTAGGTGCCTTCTTCTTCTTCTAACCACCACCCCCACCATCTAGTAAAGGAGGCATTGCTCCATTACACCTTCCTGGTCCGATGCTCGTTCGTGAATAAGCCTCCATGAAAGTGTCATCTGCTTCCTGTGCGTCGCGGCTCTATAAAATCCCGCTACTTGGTGATGTTTTCGCAATCGTTCTGTGCTCATGGGTAGAGATTATTCAGGGTACAATTACGCCTTTGTTAAGGCAGCTGCAAGCAGAATTTCAGTCTACTGCAACTGCGCGCCGCACTCATTTCGAACATCGCACACGCGAGTCTCGAACCCAACTGTCATAGCGTTGACTCGTTGGCGGGCAGTTTCTGCTTATCGGCGCTTCAGACCTGGTGACGAACACAACCGTGGAAGAAATCTTTGTACTCGCAATCGAATATGTCATACGTTAAAACACCGCGCACCGTTGCCATGCACATCCCAGCTGCGCTTTCTGCTCGAAATCGTGGCTAGGCCCAACTCCGCCTTGCACTAGACGGGCAAGACAATCGTGCTAGTGGGTATGCGAAAGCAAAGAAGCCGTGACGTGCTTCGTCGCAAGCAACGAATCACAATGGCCGCTGGCTCAACCCCGAACAGGCATGTTGCGCATTGGCAGCGGACCCCGGCCAAAACTCCCCACGCACCGCCCGCTCGGAACAGCGGTGGCAGCGGTCAGCCATTTCGCGCGTCCAGCACGCAAAACCAAGCACACTGCGCCTAAATTTTTTTGTTGCCGAAGATTGCCGAGATTAATCATTAACAAACTGGATAGGTGGCCTTCGCTCTTTGATCGGTATGCAGATATATGCGGCACTATTCCCATCCCCAAAGTATGCCACGCGATGTTTGAGCTAGGAAGTTGTAGAATTTAGGATGTTGTCACAAAATGAGCGCTCAAAAAAGGGCGCGACGCCAAATTCTCGCGACGAAGCGCCGGAGAGATGCCTCGAGGTCAACGATAAAAAAAAGAAAACAAGCATCCAAAGACTCCCCGGGCGCACGTCCCTTTCCCCTCGGAAGTGTAGGTTCGCCGATAAACCTCCTCACATCGGCGGCCGAGCAAGCCCTGGAAAGTTCTCGATGGAAAGGGGCGTGGTGATGCAGGGTTGCGTCATCTGTCGCGGATGGCCCTCGAACCGTCTCGCGCTTTCCCCAGCCTTCGCTGTGTATTGCGCCGACGAAATGATGAGAATTTTCTGGAATCTTGCGCGGAAGGTATTTAACCGAGCAGCAGAGATGGGAGATCAGAAAAAGAAGAAAGTATGCGCCAGAGTGCATAGGGTGTTCTAGCGTGTCCTCAGCGAAGGTTTTGTCCTCAGTGACAAAGCAGGAGAAGAAGGAATTTCCCGCCAGTGTGCGTAAGGTGTTTCCGCCGTATCTGTCGGCGAAGCCTCTTGTCCTCAGTGACGGAGGAGAAGAAAGTTTTGCGCAAGTGTGCGTAGGGTCATTCGGCCGTGTGGGCAAAGCCTTTTGTCCTCAGTGACAAAGGAGGAGAAGATGAGGATTTCCACCTGAGGGGTGAAGACTCGTGCTACAGGCAGGAATGTGTGTCTACCACCAGCGAGCAAAGACGCGTGCCAACAGCAGCCCGTGGGAAGCCGACGTGTTACCGGCGAAGAAGTTTGGTGCTTAGAGAGCGGCCAATTGAAGACGCGAGGTTTCCTGGAAGAGAAACTTCGGGGGCATCGGAACGACAACAGCGCTGGACTTTGAGTGAGTGATTCTCGGAAGAGTATCATTCAGACTTTCGTTCCAAGGACTTTGGACTGAATGAGTTTTAGAACTCTTTAGTCTTTAAGGGGGGAGGCTACCCTGGAGACCGAACTTTTTTATTTTTTAAGATATCTGGATGAAACTTTCAGGGGTTGTTCACTACAATAAAACTAGCACAACTGCTAAGTTTCACGAAGCTGTGTTTCTTAGTTCCAGAGTTATTGAGGTTTAACTGGGTGCTCCACATGGGTGCCTGAGGAAGAGTCGTGAGAAATCCCAGGACATAGTAGAAAGCTGAAATTCATTGTGGTCATTCCTTGATAGCTATCCCAGGGCGCTACAAAGCCGTTTCTTTTAATTCCCCCCCTCCCCCCCCCCAAAAATTTTCACGCAACTTTGAATTTGATGTAACCAGTAATGACCAGATTCATCAAAAATTAATTGTTTATTATAAATTAACAGCACCAATTTTCAAAAAAAGGAGCTTGTTACGCCCTTGCAAGGTCATTTAGGAACAGAATAAAAAAAACGGCACACAGATCTGATGAACGGTTTTCGAGTTCTTGCTTTCCTCAGCACCACAACTAGCAAAAAAATCCGTTCTGAGAAAACAGGCCGAGAAAGTTCAAAACACGTGTTTTCTTCAAAAAGCTCCAGCACAGTAGCTAGAAGTGTCCTGGCACACTCTTTTCTTCTTTTGCCTGGCCTCCATCTTCTCTTGGTGTCTTTTAGAATTCTTTTTTAGGCGTAAAGCGTCTTTTTCACGAGCTCGCTGGATGGCCAGATGACCTGGTTGAAGTCTAATGGAGTCCGATATCACTTGGGTTGCTTTGCAGCAGCCGGCATTGTAGCGCAGCACTGCTTCATGCAGTGCTGTTTCTACCGCGATCAAG